AATCCAGGATAATCTCCCTATCTTAAAATCCTTAATTTCATCACATTTGTAAAGTCTCTTTTGCTGTGTAAGGTAACATTTACAGATATCAAAGATTAGGACATGAATATTGCTGTGGTTTGAATATGTCCCCCAAATTTCACGTGTTGGAAACGTAATCCCCAAATTCATATGTTTATGGTATTTGGAGGTGGGGCCTTTGGGAGGTAATTAAGATTAAAGTCATCAGGGTGGGGTTCCCATGATGGCACTGTGGCTTTATAAGAAGAGGAAGAGACACCTGAGCGGGCCAGCCCTTGTCCTCCCTCCATGGGATGCCCTCCACCATGTTAAGATATGGTAGAAGGCCTTCACCAGATGTGGCCCCTCTACCTTTCACTTCCCAGCCTCCAAAATGGTAAGAAATAAACTTCTTTTCTTTGTAAATTACCCAGGCTGTGGTAGTCCTTTATACCAACAAAAAATTGACTAAGACAGATATCTTTGAGGGCCGTTTTCCTGTCTATCACATTCATCCTCCTACATTCACTTCCCACAACTTTCCTTTCCATGACTTTTACACTCCAAGCCAAACCTGTTCTGCATTTTCTGTGTGTACCACACTTCCTCACGCCTTCACAACTGCCAATCCTTCTACTGGAAAAGTGCTTGGCCCTCCTGGTTTTCTACCTGTGGAACTCTAAGAGACAGAACAGAATAGTGGGTAAGAGGCCTAACTCTAGAGTCAGACTGCTTGGGCTCAAATATGAGTCTGTCACTTACTAGAGATTTTTGGTAAATTGTTTGGTTTTGTTTTAACCTAGATCTAAATGCCAGATTGTAACAAACACAAGAAACAAAAAAACCAGGGAAACTGCACCACAAGGAAACAATTACACAGATCCAGAATGTGTAATGTTCCACAGGCAAAAATGACCTGGTTTGATGAACTGATGCTAAAAAAGGTGGCAGCGGTGTGTGCGGGGAAGGTGTCTATGTAGGTAGAGGTCGGGGGTTGTTTAAAGAACACTAAAAGGGACAATAACAAACTGTGGCTGAGTGCGGTGGCTCACGCCTGTAATGCCAGCACTTTGGGATGCTGAGGTGCCCAGATCATCTGAGGTTGGGAGTTCGAGACCAGCCTGACCAATATGGAGAAACCCCGCCTCTCCTAAAAATACAAAATTAGCTGGATGTGGTGGTGGGCACCTGTAATCCCAGCTACTCGGGAGGCTGAGGCAAGAGAATTGCTTGAACCCAGGAGGCGGAGGCTGCGGTGAGCAGAGATTGTGCCATTGCACTCTAGCCCGGGCAACGAGAGTGAAACCCCATCTCAAAAAAAAAAAAGAGAGAGAGACAATAACAAAATGAAAGATGTAGGCCCAAGTTTGAAAGCAGAGTTAAACAAACTAACTGTAAAAAGCTTTGGTGGGGCAGTCAGGGGAATGTGATTCTAAAACAGCTATCAAAGAGTATTAAGGACCTCTAAGTGTAATAATGACGTGGTTAAGTATTTTTTTAAAAATTTTCCTGAGATGCACACCATAAACACAGAGATACACTGAAAAATTTTATTCAGGAGTGAACTGACATATCTGAGATCTCTTCAGTAACATTCTAGGAAAAAAAAAGTTACAGGGGAACAGATGAAACATGATTGGCAAATGGAAATTGCTGAAGCTAAATGACTAGAACAAGTCGAGTATCCCTTACCCAGAGCACTTGGGACCAGAAGTGTTTCAGGGTTTTTTGGAATTTGGAATATTAGCATTTTATTTACCAGTTCAGTATCTCTAACTGGAAAATCTGAAATCTGAAGTGCTCCAATGAGCATATCCTTTGAGCTCGTGTCAGTGTTGTTCAACGTTTTGGACTTTTGGAGCATTTCGGATTTTCAGATTAAGGATGCACAACCTGTACGTGGGAGCTGATTCTATTACACCATGTGTTTGAAATTTTCACAATGCAGATGGTCCTTGACTTACAATGGTCCAACTTATAATTTTTTTTGACTTGTCAGGATGTAATCCCATTGTAAATTAAGGAATATCTGTACATTTACTTAAAAATATATCGCCTAGGAAGTTTTTTCCCCCCAGGTTCTGCCAGAAAGTAATTTCCTTGTCCATTTTCCTTAACAGTTTATTCACATTTTTGCTGTCATAGTAATTATTATATCTAATTACGCTTATGTTATTATACTGTGCCTAAAACTTACTTCCTATTGTGTGCTTATGTGCAAGGGACTCTGCTATGTGCTGGGCACTGCATGGTGAACAAAACAGACATGGACTCTACACTAGCTTCACAGAGTGTTTTGTTTTGTTTTGTTTTGTTTTGAGACGGAGTCTTGCTTTGTCGCCCAGGCTGGAGTGCAGTGGCTCAATCTTAGCTCACTAACAGCGAGTATTTTATAGTGCAGATAGGGAGACAAACACCTCCTAAGCAAACATACAATTGCAACAGTGGGAGAAAAGCCAAATGGAGTCCGTGGCAAGGGCATAATGGGGAAATTGAGGAACTTTCTCTAGAGAAGGTAATTAAGGAAGGCCTTTCAGAAAATGAAATCCTTAATCTGAGACCTGAAGGATTCCATCACACGTGAACGAATGTTTGTGTCTGCTCCTACTCACCAAATCATGCGTCCAAATTCCAGGCCAGGTGCTGTGGCTCACTCCTGTAATTCTGTTACAGGAAAGGGGTCCGATCCAGATCCCAAGAGAGAATTCTTGGATCTGGTGCAAGAAAGAATTCAGGGTGAGTCTGCAGTGCAAACTGAAAGTAAGTTTATTAAGAAAGTAAAGGAATAAAATGATGGCTACTCCATAGACAGAACAGCTGAGGGCTGCTGGTTGCCCATTTTTACGGTTATTTTTTGATGATAAGCTAAACAAGTGGTGGATTATCCATGCCTCCCCTTTTTAGACCATATAGGGTAACCTCCTGATGTTGCCATGGCATTTGTAAACTGTCACGGCACTGGTGGGAGCACAGCAGTGAGGAGGACCAGAGGTCACTCTCTTCGCCATTTTGGTTTTGGTGCGTTTTGGTTGGCTCCTTTACTGCAACCTGTTTTATCAGCAACATCTTTATGACCTATATTTTCTGCTGACCTCCCGTTTCATCATGTGCCTTAACTGTCTGGGAATGCAGCCCAGTAAGTTTTAACCTCATCTTACCCAGTTCCTGTTTAAGATGGAGTTGCTCTGGTTCACTAGCCTCTGACAATCCCAGCACTTTGGGAGGCCAAGGTGATCAGGTAACTTGAGGTTAGGAGTTCGAGACCAGCCTAGCCAAAATAGTGAAAACTCGTTTCTACTAAAAATACAAAAACTAGCTGGGCGTGGTGGCGGTGGCCTGTAATCCCAGCTGCTCTGGAGCCTGAGGCAGAGTGGTTTGAACCTGGGAGGGAGAGGTTGCAGTGAGCCCAGATCACACCACTGCACTCCAGCTTGAGCAAGAGTGAGACTGTCTCCAGCAAAAAAAAAAAAAAAAAAAAGTAAATTCCAAACACCCTCTTCCTCCAAGTCACTGTATTTGGGGCCTTTGGTAGGTAATCCAGATTAGATGGTCATGAGGATGGGGCCCTCACCATGGAGAATATAAATGTCCTTAGAGGGCCTGTCCCCTCACTTATTCAGAAACCTGGAGAAGTCCGTGGTCTGCAGCGTGGAAGAGAGTGCCCGCACCTCTCACTTTCAGCCTCTAGTCTGGAGACTTTGTCTAAGTCACCCCGTCTATGTCACTTAGTCACAGCCACCCTGAGCCCACTAGCCTGTATTGCGCTGGAGCATTTCGCATAAAAAGAAATTAATATAAAAATGACACGTGCTCATTGTGGAAAACGTGAAAAAATACCAAAAAGATCACTTTTAATTCTAATGCATAAAAATAACCACCACTTACATCTGTTTCTCCCAGTAACTTTTTTATATGAACGAGTGTTTTTAAACTAGGGTCAGTATTAAAAGACCAGAAGTAGTTTAACATCATCTTAAACCCCCTTATCCAGGAATTAGCATTTGTATTCTCGGCCGCTGCAGAATGTTACTTTAATCCCTCAAACTTTCCGTGGCTTGGGTCTGCCCTGGTTTTGAACACTAGGTAAGGCTACAAAAAGCATCCTGGGGCTCTGGCCCATTTCTTTTTAGAGACGGGGTCTAGCTCTGTCGCTCAGGCCTGTCTGGAACTCCTGGGCTTAAGCGAAACTCCACCTGGGCCTCCCGAGTGACTGCGCCGCCACCAAGCCGGCTCCCACCCTCTCTCTATGCGTGGCTCCGCGGGCTCCATTCTCCACACACTTGTCTGGGGGGCGCCAGGAGCCCCTCACCGGCCAGGCCGCAAACTCAGTAAGTGCACGAGGCTGCGGACCGGTCGGCTGCGCAAAGCAGCCCCGGACACAGTCACGACGCGGCCGCCTGGCGCTAGTCTCACCCAGCCGACTGCGCAGCCGCCCTCCCTCTCACACGAAGGAGCCTTTCTGCCTTTTACTATTTTTCAAAGCGGACCTAGGCTCCTGGCTCGAGCCTGAGGGGATACAAGGCGTCACGAGGGGCGCCATCACAGCGCCAGGTCGACAGCTTCCGCTGAAAGCCCTGTGCCGCTCAAAGCCCCGTGGCCCACGCTTCCGGCCTCGACCGACTAGGTCATCAGCAAACCCCGTGATACCTCGCTCCACCCTCAGGTCCTCCGCCCCAACGGTTCCGTGTCCTGGAACTTTCCACGTTCCTGCGCACGCGCTCTGCGACGCTTAACGTCCAGACTCCGCCCTCCTCTTGCCACGCCCCTGCCCGTCAAGGGCGCTCCCGCCCCCGTGCCGTACCTATTCTCCACTTCTTCCCGCGGGCAACCTCGCAACAGATCTCTGATTGGCTGAGCCGGGAAGCCGACTTCGTGAGGCGGTGGCGACGATAGGCTGGCAGCTGGCCGACTTCCGCAGAAGGCGATTGGTCGGTACTGCTGTCCAATCGGCGGCGGGCTGTCGGATTCAAATCGGGATCGTTGGGACTGCGGTCGTTAGTCTCTGGCGAGTCGTTGCTTTGGCGGGACGTGGACGTGTCTACTGCTGCTCCCGCTTTTCGCGCTCTCTCGTTTCATTTTCGGCAGTGCGCCAGCAGGATGGCCCACAAGCAGATCTACTACTCGGACAAGTACTTCGACGAACACTACGAATACCGGTGGGCGGCTTTCTCAGACCCCGAGTCGGCTCTCTCAGCTGGGGCCCCCGCGGGCGGGGCGACCAAGGCGTAACGGGGTCGGGGAGGGGGGGGGCCGGGGTCTGGGGGGCGGAGCCCGAGGGCGAGGGCCGGAGTTTGGGGTCGCGGCCACCTGGTGCCCCGCGTAGTCGGTCATAGTTGGGTGCCTGGCGCGCCCGGCCGATTGGGCCTTTGTTCAGTGTGCGCGGAGGGTGAGGGAAGAGCGGCCACGGGGCCGCATTTAGTGCCCGGGTAGGAACCGGCGCAACTTGGGGGTCCCGGGGTCCTCGGCGACGCGGAGTGACCCTCCGGTCACTTTTTTCTCGGCCGTGGCACAAGTAATTAGGCCGTTCAGTAACTGGTCTCAGTTCCAGTTGTTTGAACCAGGCCAGGAAAACCCGCCTGGTGCCGTCCTTTTCCGTTCGCAACCGTGCCACACACTTTCCCTGTTTCTGACGGGGTGATGCAACTTTTACTAGTTTGTGGTTTAGAGTGGTAATTTTCATCTGTTAACATAGAGGAACACACTTGTCTTCTTGTTTTTGAAGTGAGTGGTATAAGTTTTGGGGGCGACCCCCCGAAAATGAGCTTGATGGGAATTCGAAAATGTTTACTGGGGATGGTGATTTGGGCCATTATATATTGGCCGCAGTCATACAATTGAGGGCATTATTAAAGGAGTTTCATTTTAAGGCCGATTAAGAACTTGAGTGGACTTTCGGCCTTATTTTCTGCTAGTCTACACTGGCCAAATTTTGGGCTTCGAGGAACTTTTGCGTTTGAGTCCTGAAGCGATGTACCAGAACGTAGTGACTAATCGGTCAGTAAAATCAGACAGATTTTAAATGACCCTATCCCCCAATTAAACTAGACTGGGGGAAAGCGGGTAGGGACATTTAAAATTTGTTGTCCTTCTTGTGTGCGGGACACTTCATTTAGGGCGTGGCTTCAGAGACCAGTTAACCCCTTTTTCTTACTAGGTAGTGACTAGAACGCTGCGTCCTGGGATACTACCAAGATTTCGGGGAGATAAAGCCCATGCCATCGTTGGCCAAATTGTGACCTTGTTTTCTGTCTGCTGCCGTTGTAGGTTAGATTTCTATGAATGCTATTTAAGGAAGAAAGAACAAAACAGTGGGTGGTTTCTCTTTTTCTCTCCCTCGCAGCAGCATGGAGTCTGTTTTCACATGAGGAATACTGAAGATTTCTATGGGTAGTAATAATTGCACCCTTTTGTATTCCTAGCTAGAAAAATACCATGTTTTTCTGGCTGTAGGTAAATTTCAAGTAGATTGTCTTAACTTTATAGTAATAACTATACAGTTCTAATCGTGTAATATGCTGGCACAGTGTTCAATTATGTGATGCTAATCAAGAGCCATATTGAGGATATCTGATAATGAACACAATGTAAACCGTAATAACCTTACTAAAACCTGGAGAATTATTCTGAAACACATCTGGTGCCAAGTGTTTAGGATAAGGATTTAAGGGTTGGTACAAGTTTCTTTTGGGGCATAATACTGAAAGTAAGTGAAGCTATTTCTCAGACTTCTTTCTGATGGCAGTAGGTCCATTTTTTAGTTTTAACATACTCAAATGATTTGTGTGTGGTAATGAAGAAGGTTTACATATCTGCAGTGATTTACTTTAACCCAGTAAAAATTAGAGCTGGTATTAATTGGCCAAGGCACTAACCTTTATGAAACAGGATAGTAATTTCCCCAGATAATTTTAAAGGGGAAACTAGTGATAATATACCGCTAAGGCATGAGTCTAGGGTGGTTTGTATTAATATGTAATGGTGCAGCATGCAATGTAAACTTAAAAGGCTAGTATTTATTTTTCCCAGTGTGCAGTTATCTATATCTTTCTTAGATTTTTCTTAATTGCAAACTTAATTTCCTAGTCCTTTTACGTGAAGGTCTTAATGTTTCTAAGGGCATAACAGTGGGTGCCCCCACTCCCACATCATGGAAGTCTGTTTTCGCAGGAGAAAAACTGGTAATATCTCTGGGCAGGTTTACAAATTAGTAATACTTGCACTATTTTGCTCTTCAACTGAAATAAACGTTAGATTTTGGAAAAATTTTCCTTACGTGTAGTTTGAAAACTCTGTGTGGCAAAATATAGGTAGACTCTTCATATGGGCTTGATATTTTAAACAGTTTTTAAACAGTTTTCCTTTATAAAGAAACCCTGATGGAGGAGAGCCTGTTTCCGCGTTTATGGAGAAGGGTGGTAACTTCTATCTAAATAACTTGTTGGTAGATTTATGTACTCTGTAAATTTGAAAGACAAAAGGTACAAAAGCACTACATTTCTCTTTGAGAATAATCAACAATATAGAAGATAGAAATAAGATAACAGATTATTTGTAGAGCCTTAAAAGTTAGATGTTAAAGCAGCATTTAAAGAATGTGGGTGATAACTGGTAAGAATGACAAAGAATCACCATATAGTTCGCTGGAATTGGTGAAAACTGCAAATTATGGTAGTAAGGTATGACTTCGTGGCCTTAAGGCAATCTAGCAACATAAAAGAATTTTTCTGAGGCTCACTTTGCCCTGCAAGTGAATTGGTACTTAACCAACCACAGACTAAAATTTAAGTTGATGACAGCTGGGTGCTTATAATGGGTTAGGGGTTCAGTTTACTGCGTCCCAGAAAGTGATGAGATTGCACCTCATTCATCGCCATCCAACTGACTCACAGACATATCTTATACTGGTTAAAAATTTGGGTTGGTGGTTATGGATGGTTCAGTATAAAACTGTTGCTACTACTGGAGATGGTAAATATGGGGCTGAGAATTGTGACTTCTATAAAATCTTTTTTATGGTAATTGAGTAAAAGTTCTTACTCAATTTGGGGAAGGAGATTTGTCTGACAAATCTTTGACAGAATGCTTTGGGATACTCTTAATGATATAGATTTGTTTTTGAGAACTCGTACAGTTGTACATATTGATGGTTTAACTTTGAAGGTTATTCCATGCTTGCCCAAGAAACTGAACAATGTAAGTTTTGGATATAGGTCAGTAAGTTAACTGGAAAACTGTGAGGTTGCACACAATGTGTATGTGCAGTTAGTGGTTTTCTGTTTTTAATTATGAACACAGTACTTGAAGTATAAAGCAACTTCTGGAGCATACAAGGACTGGTAGTTACTACAAAGCTAGTGTTGGGAAGAGGAAACCCAAATTAACTGTAACTTACATTTTTCCTTACATAAAAGTCTAATAATCTGGGACACGGATAACAGCTCTACAGTCAGGGAGTAGGCTGGGTCCTTACCTCTTGTTGCTTTACCGTTCTCAATTTACTGTTGCTTCTGTGGTCCTAGCCTCCTGCTCTGGCTCCCTGATCGTATTAATGTACATTCAACAAGAAGGAGAAAAAGAAGAGTTCAGCATGTTCTTTCCCTTTGAGAAAACTTTTCATAATAAGTTACACATTTTCTTATATCTTGTTGGCTTATGATTTGGAGGCTGGTTAACCATATGCTCAACTTATATTTTGGGGTTCTATTCCTGAAGAAGATTCAGGCAACTGGTAAGCATTCTCTGGTAAGAGAAAAAGATTAATCCTAAGGAAAATGCCTTCTGCTTTTGGATTGTGCACTCTTAGCTCCCTAATTTGAACATAGGCCATCACATCAGAATTAAAGGTAGTAGAGTGTAATTCTCAATATTAAAGCAACAGAGTTGCTAAAGGGACATGTATAAAGCGACAGTTGTAGAAAAGGCACTGGACTAATACTTGGCTGTATCTTTTAACAGGCATGTTATGTTACCCAGAGAACTTTCCAAACAAGTACCTAAAACTCATCTGATGTCTGAAGAGGAGTGGAGGAGACTTGGTGTCCAACAGAGTCTAGGCTGGGTTCATTACATGATTCATGAGCCAGGTAAGCTTTGCTATATTATAGTAGAGCAGTAATTGTTGAAATATTGGTGGTTATGGTTGTCAAAACTTTAAAAATATCATTGACATCAACTGATATCTCAAAGTAACTCTTCTGATAAGTTAGTTTTTTTAAATGACTTATTTCTTGACTCTGGAGAGAGATCCAATTTTATGGTAAAATAAAATACCACAGGAGTGAAAGTAACACATTATTCTACTTGGAAAATAATGTAAGAACTAAAAAAAGATATTTTAAAATCTGTATCGTTAACAGTATCCCAAAGCATTTTACCATAAATATATCCTAAGACAAGTGTTCTTTTTTGTGTGTGAAAATTGATTTAAAGTGATTCACTCTTCAGCCCTTTTAAAGGATAGCTACCACATGAAGTTTAAATGAGGTAATAGCATATGAACTCAAATGTGTTTATGGGTATCTTATGCTATTATGTGCTATTAACAAAAAGTTGTTCAGGTATTAAATAGTAAACTCAAACTTTGTGAGTTTTCTAAACTAAAACAATGTGGGTTAAATTCTATTTTTGGGTTATCAGTAAATCTAACTTACAGCATTTATGTTTTGAACAAAATTTGAAGACATACTATAGAAGCTGAAGTAGGTGGAACTAAAACTATCGTGCTTTCTCCTCTGCTGTTAAAGAAAAACATTGCATTGAAAACTCTGAAAGAACTCATCGCTTTCTTGGGATTGAGATACGTAATCCTATTAGAATTCAGTCCAGATAATACAAAAGCAACTGAATAACTTAAGTGCAGATTTCTGTGCCCCACCTATTGAAGCAGAATCTGTGGGGATGAGCATTAGTATGAGATCCTGTAGATGATTTGAAAGAGGTGTTTTTCCCTATAAAGAGGTAATCTTTTTACTTTTAATCTGTTTACTGTAGACAGTAACTTTGAAGTAAAATTCATTTTAGATACCTCAAACCAGTTAATAGTGGACTCGGTTTATTTTATTCTGGCTTAGTTGAGAATGCTTTTGAATTTCTGATGAGTATATGAAAACCATATTAAAATGATTCAAAACATTTTCTTTCTACAGAACCACATATTCTTCTCTTTAGACGACCTCTTCCAAAAGATCAACAAAAATGAAGTTTATCTGGGGATCATCACATCTTTTCCAAATTTAATGTATATGTGTATATAAGGTAGTATTCAGTGAATACTTGAGAAATGTACAAATCTTTCATCCATACCTGTGCATGAGCTGTATTCTTCACAGCAACAGAGCTCAGTTAAATGCAACTGCAAGTAGGTTACTGTAAGATGTTTAAGATAAAAGTTCTTCCAGTTTTTCTCTTAAGTGCCTGTTTGACTTTACCTGTTACTTTTGTTCAATAAAGTTTGTATGTTGCATTTATCACTTTCAAGTTTTTGAGGTATATTTTCTTACAGTTAATTTGTGATTATTGAAATTGATTTCAGTGTTACAGTTTTAGCTCTGAGGAAGTTAACTTACCTTAAAGATCATGTTAAATGAGTTTAAAACAGCGTGGTATGATCTGGATACCATTTAATTCACTTAATTTAGAAATTAAGAACCAGGGATATGTTTAAAGCCAAAGTAGATTTTACCTCTTGAATTCCTAGAGAATTGGCTAGGACAGGAAAGCCCAAATTAATACTATCTGGGCTACTTCACTGTCACTGGCCACTAGTGGTCTTGGGAGAAACCTCTTAACTTTTTTATCCTCGTCTACATTTCCAAGGTAGGGATAATGTTTCCTATAAAGTAACACCACATTTTTAAAGGTTCAAAAACACTAAAACACCTTTGCCTTTTTAGCTTCTAGGAAAGTGTTTTCGGAGTTAGATGCAGACATAGGCTGTTTAATTAATTGCTATGCTATAGAAACAAATCAGCAGCCAGCATACATCAGGTCCCTTGGTTAAGAAAGGGTGTCTTTACACATGAGCACAATGAATTTTGAAGGTTGTGATTAGCAGCAACCTAGAATCTACTTCCCCCACCTCACTGCCACCACCACAGGATGTGTCCCAGGTAACAACAGAAATGACAAAATTAAATTTCATTACACTTTCGGGTAGACCCAATAGTGCTGAAAGAAAGGTGACAGCTACCCCTCAACTTCCAGCATAAATTCCTGCTGGACCAGACCCTAAGGTTCACTTCTGCTAGAGGCTGTGTAGTGAACTGAGACCTGGACAGAAATCTGAAAAAACTGGAAGTGCACCTGTCTCACTTGCTTGAAATACTTGGTATTCAATGGTAGAGTTAATAAAAGTCTGTGCAAGGGACAGAGGAAACCTACAATTTGCCTCAATCCCCATTATTTTGGCCTATTTTGCTGACATTTTCTGTCCCTTAAACCCACTTGCACTTTCCTCCAAGCCTTTGAGTGAGGGAAGTTCCTCCTCCATCTATTGAAATCCACCGCATTCTTCCCTGTACTTTCGGTCAACCTCCTATCCCTGCTGCACCTTATACATTTCTCACAGTATTTAACGAATTTGCTCTGTGTATAACTGTTTTTTTCCTTGTGAAAATTATACTATTCTATCTCTTGACCATGTCTTAGCACTTTTTAAAAAAAATTTTCGAAAGAAACCGAGCGGCGATTTAAATTATTTTCTGTGGCTACTTACAAACAACGTTTCTGGAAATTTAGGATACCAATAGAGTCTTGTAGGCTTTCCAGGTTTGCAGGACCTACAGGGTATGCAATTCCTGTAAGTCACCAATCTTGAGGAAATTTTAGGGAAATGCAGTGGCGGGGGTGGGAGTAATGTCGGCCTCCTCAGTTTCCTTATTAGTAAATCTTCCTCCTCTTCAGGTGACTGCTCAAAGGTCACCTCAGCGAGAGGCCTTTCCAGACTAACCCATCCCATCCTAACGCTAGACTCTTGAGGCCCAGGGGACAAGAGTAAATCACGGCCTCTCAGTTTCTAGTCGCTGCTGCCTTGGTGGAGACTATCTCGAATATCCCAGCAATAAAAGGCAGATCTGAGATTCCCGTAAGCTACTATGAGTCCCCAGCCCAGAGGACTCGGGGATCTGCATTTCCCGCAAGCTCCCCACAGCCCTCCACGTGCAGCCCGCGCAGGTCCAGTGCCGCGGCCGCCGCGTACTTCCGGCCGGAAGGAAGGGGAGGCTCTGTCGCTTTTCTGTGACGCACTTCCTGGCGTCGCCTGCGAGAGCGGAAACGCTTTGTCTGTCAGGCCAGCCGACAGCCGGCTGCTGGTCTCCCTAACGCGGCCTCCTCCGCGCCTCGCGCCATGGCGTCGGAGGGGCCGCGGGAGCCCGAAAGCGAGGTAAGGGCCGCCCAGGCCGACGGGGACTCTCTCGGCAGCCTCAGCCTGTCGGCCTGCCTCGCACTGGGGCCTCGGTCGGGCGGTGACTGGGCTGGTCCAACGGGCGTGGGTCGGATGCTGGTGACGGCACGGGAGCGCCCTACCGGGTGGTCACGATCTTCGCGCCCCGCCCAGGGTCCGCCTTGGGGTGGCGGTCAGCGGCCGCAGACCCCGCCCACAGTTAGCGCCGCGTCTACGGTGCGATGTCACCAAGCGCAGTGACTGCGGCCCAGCGCCGCGCTCCCCGCAGTCGGGGCGGGGGGACTCTGGCGAGCTTCCCGCGCTCTTGGGAACGGATAGATTGTTTTAAAGGACCCTGCGTTTTTCTGAACGTCGTTCTCCGGTCTACGTACTCAGCATTGCCACTAGAAGGCGCCCTGGCGATCGCATGCATTATTTTCAGACCCATAAAATTCTCGGTGAAAGTCAGTGTCTTACGAAGTAACTAAAAACTAAAGAAAGAAATCTATTGAATTCAAATTTCAAAGGCTCGTGATATTTTCTGGCAAAGCAAGGTTTGATATTTCAATAAAGCAAGACTTAGGGGTTCATGAGTAAAATGCATATGCTTTTGTGCAACTTTTTCAAGAAAATGTAATGGAAATAAACGTCTGCAGTGTGTTTTGGGTGCTGTAGTTAAACATTCAACGTGTATGTTTGACTGCAGTAGTTGTACTGTGTGCCTTCTACAGTTCTGTTATTTCTAAGTGAATCTCTGGTAAAACACCCTTATTCCAAGATTAAAATTGCAGAAACGTTATCAGGTGTGATCTTAACTATATAACCTGGGTTAAATTTTATTTCCACTTGAACTGGTTGTCCTTATTTTTCACTCTTAATGTTTGTGGACTACTGCCTTTTCTAACAAAAAAAAGCATTGGGGAGAAATCGTTAGCAAGCAGGTGCTTCTCTTTACGAGGCAGAAGTGTTTAAACAACATCGGGAACATTTCTGGGGCTATTAGAAACACCTCTTGGGTTTTTTGATCTCTGAATGTTTGTAGCCAAAACCTCATTTTTTTCCTCAGGGCATCAAGTTATCAGCAGATGTCAAACCATTTGTCCCCAGATTTGCCGGACTCAATGTGGCATGGTTAGAGTCCTCAGAAGCATGTGTCTTCCCCAGCTCTGCAGCCACATACTATCCGTTTGTTCAGGAACCACCAGTGACCGAGTATGTATCTAAATGTCTTGCCTGGGACTTGCTTTTTGGATTTAATGGTGATTAGACTGTAAAATACTTGGCAGTTACTGCACTCAAGTTCTGCAGATGGCAGAGGATGCTCTTCATTCAAGAAGAGTCTGAGCCAGTAGCACAACTTAACTGTAAACTGTGCCAAAAAACAGAAGCTTTAATTCCCCTTTTTTTCCTTCATACTCGTTATTTTCGGCAAAGAAGTGATAGAGACTGCATTGCATTTGTTAGTAAGAAATGCAGTTTCAGGCCAGGCGCTGTGACTCACGCCTGTAATCCTAGCACTTTGGGAGGCCGAGGTAGGTGGATTGATCACCTGAGGTCAGGAGTTCAAGACCAGCCTGGCCAATATGGTGAAACCCTGTCTCCACAAAAACACAAAAATTAACCAGGTGTGGTGGCGGACACCTGTAATGCCAGCTGTGGTGGTGGACACCTGTAATGCCAGCTATTCGGGAGACTGGGGCAGGAGTATCCCTTGAACGCGGGAGGCGGAGATTGCAGTGGGCCGAGATTGCACCACTACACTCAAACCTTGTTGACAGAGCAAGGCTCTGTCTTAAAAAAAAAAAAAAATTCCCGTTTCAGGGTTCATTTGTTCATATGGTTTAAAATTATATCATGTATCTAATGGGAGATGAAATGTGGAAGGAAGGGCAAAGGAAGGACCAGGTACACATACTCCTCATTTTTAAGGTTAACGTTTTAAAATCTTGTTCAGGGAAGGGGAGGGGACTAACAACCATAGTTGCCTCTGTGTGGATAATTTTTTGGAAATTGTTGACTTTTGCTTTCCACCGTTTTACTTTATATCTGTTATATGGAGAGGAATTTTACACATTTCAGGTTTAAGTTCATCTAAATTTGAGTTGAAAGAAGGCTTATATTTTTCCTTACATTTTCTTTTTCATTCTCAAGATTCATTCTCTAGGTATTTACAAAATGGCTTCCTCTTGTAGCTGAATTTAGACAAAAAACATATTAATCTTTCACATAATTGTGTAGATTTATTTGTAGACCTATTTTTAAGATTTGCATCAGGTGTAGTTCTAATCTAAGAATCCTTGTGCTTTGTTCTTCTTTGATATGATTCAAACTTGTTTCCTTTTATTTGTGCCTGCATGGTGTGATTGAAAATAGTTTGTACTGTATATAAATTCTAGAATTATATTTGCAAGAATGAGAATTATAATGAATAAGAAAATCATTGAGTTGTCTGGTGTATTTAGGAAATACTGAAAGTTGTGTTTTTTTGACAAAAGTTGAAACACTACCTTTATGTGCTGGAATTTGGTCTTTGGTAGGAATACCCTATTTTTCCACTGCATTTCATCCATTGGAAAGGGGAGTTTGGCTTGGATCTCACCTGAGTTGTTCCCTACCTTGAGTGTCTCACATAACAAAATACAAAAATATGTGTCAGTGATAAGAGCTCAAAGCCATCTGCTAGGTGGTATTCCAGTTACTCAAAATAGTTGTGGAAAACATTCACATGGCTGAAGCAACATTTTGGCAGTAACATGAGTGGAGACTAATCAGAGACTCAATAATGGGCAGTGCTGAATTTAAAAATTAGTTTTCTTGGCCAGGTGTGGTGGCTCACGCCAGTAATCCCAGCGCTTTGGGAGGCTGAAGCGGGTGGATCGCGAGGTCAGGAGTTCAAGACCAGCCTGGCCAAGATGGTGAAACACCATCTCTACTACAAAAATACAAAAATTAGCCAGTTGTGGTGGCAGGCGCCTGTAATCCCAGTTACTCAGAAGGCTGAGGCAGAGAATTGCTTGAACCTGAGAGATGGAGGTTGCAGTGAGCTGAGACTACGCCACTGCACTCCAGCTTGGGAAACAGAGCATGACTCTGTCTCAAAAAAAAAAAAAAAGTTTTCTTAACTCTCTCTTTTTTTTTTTTTAGCTTTTATTTATGACCAAGGAAAAATATTCATGCCTGGCAAGAACACAAGGATAAGGAAGGCATTAAGTTGAAGAGGAAGAGGTAGAAAGGAAAGGAGCCTTTAAAGTGGGGATGAAATAATGAGACTTCACATAGTTGAGAGTTGGTTATCTGGGCAATTCTAATATAGATTAAAAATTGCATTGCTATAGTCAAGATTACATGTAGATGTAATCTTGCTGCTGTGACAAAAGGAATAGAAGTTTCTGAAACAACTATTTCCTTTTTTTTTTTTTTTACTTATTCAACTACATAGCATCCTAAGTCATCTTTGTATGTCCCCTTCCCTCATCTTTCCTTAAAGAAAGTATAGTAACCTTTTCCAGAATCAGTCCTCCAGTACCTTTCACAGTGCACTCAAGGATGCTCATTTATTCGTTTGGAATTAATTATTGAAAGTCTTCCATAGTTTTGAAGTGATGGAGATGAAAATGAACATACCAGACTCTTCCATATTTATGTTATAGGACAAGACAAAGAAATTAGAAGTAGTCTAACAGATAACATTTGCCATGTTTGGAAAATACTGATTATTTACTGATAATCAAATTTGCCTATGCAAACAAGTTTGTTCCAAGTAATGTCCGTTGTCATCGTGTATCCTTTGTGACAAGTCCTGTGTAACCCATGTATGAGGATGTGTGCCTTTTGTTTGGGTATTATTGTATACTTTCACTTCTTTCATGGTTACCACAATCCATGAGGTGGCAGGCAGATGTAATGTTATTTTTGCACATGGGAAACTGAAGCTAGAAATGTTTGTTCATACTAATTCAAATAGGTGGCACCAGAACCAGAATTAACATGCTGTTCTCTAAAACTGCTACCGCTGTTGACAAGAGGTAGTTGAGCATTTTCACCATCTGTCAATATACTGTGAAAATTTTAGCACCAAATGATGTTTTTGAGTTAAAGCAGATCAGCTATGAGAAGAACTAGTGGTATACAACATCTGTGGGTGTTGTAAGCAGAAAGATAAGAGGTTCTGACTCAGAATGTGTCTGATGGGTGACATAAGAAGGGTGCAGAGGAGACTGCACCAGGGAAAAAGACAGAGATAGAGCCTTGGAGGGCAGGTGAGAGCCAGGCAAGCAAAGTCCAGGCCAGGGAGCTTTTCAAGTCATGTGATGGTCAAGCCAGACCCAACGGGTGCCTGGAGGAAGAGGCAAGAAGGAGGTACTGGGAGACCTGGAAGCCATTGGTAGGAAAGGGGCAAAGGGAAGTGGAGCCAGAAGACCAGCAGGTATTGCACAGGTACTCAGACATTTTGATTTTAATGCGGATGGGGCAGCGTAGGACAGTGAATGAGAAACAGGTGTGTTACTTTGGGTTTAGGGTCATCTGGACCACTCCTGGCATCTGGAATTTCCCAGATATGCCATTTGAAGCCACACCAGATGCTGTGAGTTACTGCTTTGATATTCTGTATTTTGTGTTGTTTTCTGCATGTAATTGTGTTTGCACTGGATGGAAATGGAAAATACCAACTTTCCAGAGGAGGAAGGACCGGTGAGGGGACAGAAACCCAGATGACTTATCCAGAATGGAAAACTGGATTGTGATTGAGCTAGGACCCCAACCAAGGTCTGCTGACTCCTGGCTGAAAATTTCCTGGATGGCAGCAGTGGTCAAAACCAATGGACCCTGTCCCTGCTTTCCTTTTTAGCTACATTTCATTTATCTGTTCATGTATCTATTTGTTGGACTTGGGAATAGTCTTTTTCACATTTCTTTTTTCTGTCAACCCATCTTCTTTTATGAAGAACAGATTATCCACCTTCCCTGACACTTGCACCCCACTAGCTTTTCTGAACTACAAACAAAATACAGCACAGAATTCACAGGAACATGTAGGCAGTGGGATGAGGCTTTGAGCCTCTTTTCTACAAAGAGCTAGTCCTCAGTGCTGTATGTTTGGAGCAGTGCTAGGTCAGTTGTTTTGTGGGACAAAGGTCAGTAAAAAGGTTTTATTTGATTTTTAATTGGGAATATTTCATGTTAAAGTTACTTACCTGTAAGTAAAAGATCTTAGAAAATCTAAGTTAACATATCATGAAATAGTATACAGTGAGATGAGGTAATATATGATTAAGTTCTGGATAGAAGTGAAAGCAGTAAACATTATTACATTATAGGTAGAGCCTGTAGTCTTCCTTTCTTATTCAGTATAGTCTCTTACTTGCAGCGCATTAGAAATATGATTTCTAGTGAGCAATGCTTATGCTCATAGCTCCTGACCGCGTAACAGTTTGAAGGTCTTACAGGGTGTGTCATGGTTAGGTTTGGATTTTTCTGCCTTGCAGTGTACTGGTACATTTTGGAACAGCTCTGGAAATTAACAGAAACATTTGCTGGAATGAGGAGGTCACTATTTGTATTTTAAATTAGTTGCTTAGCATTTTGTCATTGTATCAGCTTTCATGGGGAAAAGGTTGAAACCTGTAGCCTTGTATCAAATTGGCTAAAAAAGAAAAATTAGTGTTAAATTATATTTTGGTTTAGTCTAGCAGCTTGGGATAAATTGAGGCAATAGCAGCTTTCAAAGCTGGCATCCATCTTGTTAGTAAAGTGTGTAGTTTCCATCCACAGTGCCATGCAGTGTCTCCTTTGCACTCTGGCCCTGACAGTCAGCAAAGCGCAGGATGTCATGGTGGGTTTGGAGCAGGGAAGTGCTGGAGAAAACCATTTGCAGCAGGCCTGATGGAGATATTGCAGGCTCTTGCGTCCTCCCTCAGCGAGAGAATGGTCTTTTGGGGCATTTTGACCAGGGTTGCTGGAAGGGCTTTCCCAAATACTTGGTAGCAGCTGAGTGAAAAGCTGCTGGAGCATCTTCTGGCCCCGTTGATGTTTCTTATGGACTTCCAGCTCATTAGTGAAAAAAATAGAGTCAACATCTTTCTTTGTAGGAAAGAAACACTCAGAGATTTTATTTGGCTTTTAATTAAGGATATTTCAACGCTAGAGTGAATGGTCTCAAAAATATTAAATGTTAAGTTTGAATTAGTTTATTACAGAAAAGCTTCTTGGTTTGCAGTATGAAATCTGCAACTAAAGTTTACACTTTTTACTTAGGCAGAAAATATATACTGAAGACATGGCCTTTGGAGCTTCAACTTTTCCACCTCAGTATTTATCTTCTGAGATAACTCTTCATCCATATGCCTATTCTCCTTATACCCTTGACTCCACACAGAATGTTTACTCAGTGCCTGGCTCCCAGTATCATTATAACCATCCCAGTTGTTACCGAAGTTTTCAAACAGTGAAGCATCGAAATGAGAACGTGTGCCCTCTCCCACAAGAAATGAAAGCTCTGTTTAAGGTGAGTAATGATGTCATTTTGTTGTGTCCTTTAGTTGGTTGCTTTAATGTTTAAAATGTAAAGAAATGGTAAATTTGTACATCATATTTAAGCACTGTGTATTTTTTTGTATTTAAC